AGCTATAGGTGGTTTAAATTGGGTTGAATTAAAATTGATTCAAATATGCTCGAACCTAATTCAAAAGAATCATTTAATTGACTATTCAGATCCTTCCTGCTCCCACTTCGTCTGAGGTCAAGATTCAAACCTCTCTCTCTCTAGTAAATCGATAATAAAATAAAATATATATAATAAATTGGGTTTTAATTTTGCTAGTAAAGATTCAAACCTCTCTCTCATTGTAGCTCTCATGATGTTTTAGAGTATAATTTTTTTAAATAGTTATATAAAAGATAAATTTATCCAATTTGACTCAAGAATAAAAGACCAAATTACCAATGTTTAAAACGTAACAATATTCTATTAGTAGAATAGTAATAGATGTCAAATATGGATGCAAATTGACTCCCCGGTCCAACAACCAAATACTACGTAAGCAGCTATATATGTAGCTCATCATAGCTTTTTGGTTAAGAGTTTGGGCTACTAATTAAGAGGCTTTTGATTCGAAGCTTACGTATGCGATGTGTATGTGAGTGAGTTTTGTCGATCTTAATTGCCTCAAATTGTAATAACTCAAATTTTTAACTATCAAAATATTATTTGCTTTGATCTAAGAGCCTCATGATTTTGTCATGTTGGGGTACCTTCTCAGGAGGTAACCCATCTCAAGATTTCTACGAGATGAGCATGCTTAACTACAAAGTTTCTTAAATAAAATTTCAACCATTAAACCAAAAGTTGTCTGGATTCATGTTTAAGAGTTTAACTTTTTTTACTTAAGAAGTTTCACAATCTTCCATACTAAGTAACATATGTCCTCGTCATTATCATTATCCTAGAATCATCCAATAGATAGATATAGGATTTTAGAAGTGACCCCAACAAGTTTAAGTGGTGACTCCCGCCATGTAGAACTTTGTCCTATACAAGATTCAAGAGGTGGCTCCCATGAAGTAGCACTTTGTCTTGTTTGACACTTAGTTCTCATCTTTCAGCTGGTGTATTGCTTTAATATCAATTGTAACATCCCAAACTCTTAATTATCAAGATATTATCCGTTTTGACCTAAGGGTTATGATTTTGTCTTGTTGGTGTAACTTCACAAAAGATCATCCATCTCAAAATTTTTCAAAGATGAGCACATTTAACTGTGAAAATTTTTAAATAAAATTCCAACCATTACACTAAAAAACGCTTTGATATTTAAATGTTTAGTTCTTTTTCACTTGAAGAGAAAAAAAAAAGCTACTGTATCGTAAGAAAATATTGCTACATAAATCCCCCACCAAAGGCCTAAATATGATCTGACAGGAGGACACGAAGTCCATTCTATCTCCTTTTCTTCTCCCATCTGATATCAGCCTTTCTCTTCTCTAAAGAAGATAATCAATGGAGGATTCACTCTTCTTCATAGGACTCATAGGTGAGCTAGCTATCCCTACACAGCAATCAATCCACCACTTCCTTCTATAACTCTATCTTCTTCTTCTTCTTCTTCTTCTTCTTCTTCATGAGCAGGCAATGTCATATCTGTTCTGGTCTTCAGCTCTCCCATGTAAGAGTACTATCTACCGCCATTTTTGCACCTCAAATTCTTTGAAACCTCTATTTCTATTGAGCAATATACATGTCAAAACGCATTAATCAGCCCGACGTTTTGGAGGATTGTTAAGAACGGCTCAACAGAGGAATT